TTTCTCTGAAACAGCAACCTCAAACTGAAGCAAATTCAGGATTAACTCAAATTGATAAGAAGCCAAAGCTTTGTGTTTGATAATGTCGCACCCAAGTATTGTTCAGAAATTGATGGTCGGAACAGAAGTTTCAAGATAAGAAAAGAACGCATCGATCTCATTTTTCACGGCAAGGCCCCTTTTCGGTGACTACATTGCATTTTATGCATTTCCAATTTGACCATTAACTTTTCGTTTTCTTGGAATCAAAATTATTTGGTAGAAATTACTTAAATTTCTAACTGAAATATTTTCAAGCCGCAGGAACACTGAAATCTTCTGATTTTTTAAATTTTAGATCTTTATCCAGGAGGATAAGAACTGGACTGAACTTTGCATGAAGGAACTAAGAGCATTGTAGTGTTGCTAAAAATGTGCAACTTTTTCTATTGCAATGATAACTGACTACAGGCCAAGATATAAATTTTTCCTTGTCAAACTAATTTTTTTTTTAAGTGCAAGGAGAGAAACTATTCGAACTTTCATGCTTTTTTGTGTTTTCGGTAAAAAACAGTTTATTGTTTTAGCAGCATTGCAATATTCTGAGTTACCTTTGCTAAAGAAGGTTCATTGAAAGCCCCATTTCAGGCAATACCTTACCGCCCTCCTTGAAGTAGTTCAAGACACCACCCTATCCCCCCCCCCCCCTTAGTGCCATCCTGTGCTGCCGTCTAAAGGAAGAATTCCGTACGAACATTCGAGAGTTGCCAAATTTACCCGGATAAAATATGTATTTTCAACAAAATTAATGCATATTTTTCCTTGAAATTTTCAGATATTTTAGATTAAATTATTGATATATTATAAAATGATTAATTATAAAATATTTTTGATTGCGAACAAAATAGTCTGAAAAATTGGAAGAAAAATATTTACAATTTCGCCAAGAAATTCCAATTTTATCGGAGGAAATTTGGCAACACCTGAAGGTTCATACGGCGTTCTTCTTCAGCGCGGCAGTGTAGAGATCATTCCTAAATTACACAATTCTTTTGGGGGAATGTCCTGGTAAGCGTTTAACATATTCTTAATGCGGAGGGCCTCTTTACACAGCGTTATGGAGCGTTACAGGGGAGTGAGGGGGGTCTTAAAAAACCGTTCTGCGTTACGAAAAATCATCGATGACTCTTGCTGGCTAAATAATGAAATTGATAGACTAGGTGACAAGCAAATAGAAAATGGAGCATTCCTACTTGGTGGAAGCAGGTGGCTGCAATTAGGTACTCTAGTTGCAATGGACGAAGGAGGTAAGTAACAGGCTAACTAACGGCAACAAACGCGGGACCCTATCGTCATAGTCCATAATTTTCTCCCTTACAATTTGACTGCATTTTGCAATTTCGAACTATAAATTCTGGCTCTTCTGGAAAAACACTTATGTGTGTAGGGAAACTAATAGCACATACGTTATTGTTTTTAAACCGGGCAGGAATTTATAGTTCCAAATTGCAAAATATAGTCCAATTGGACTACATCCCAAGTAGCACATTTTGCAATAAGTAGCAATTGCATAGTAAAAAAAAAATATTGCAATTCCACCGAGTGTTGTGTATGTTGCATAGCTCCTATTTGAAGGGGCCCCGTTTACTGAAACTTATTGCAATAAAGTTGAAATGCATAAGTTGAAATTTTTCTTTGCATTGCATATTACCTATCTTTCTGACACATGAAGCTCATTTTTTTGATTGTTTAAAATCGGCATAAATCGACGAATTGATGTAAAAATATTGAAATTTAATGGTATACGAATTACAATTGTGTTGAAATCGATTTGCAATTTAATTTCAAAATTTTCGTTGCACTGTGCTACTTGGGACGAAGGAGCTTTAGAAAACGGGATCAATGCGGGATATTTTCGTGAAGAACGACAGTTTTAACGACAAGAGCACCGCTTGGTGGAGCGAATTAGGCAATGGAACAGATCGCGGGCCAGACGCAGAAACTTTGAAACTCTCTACACGGAAAAAATTTAATTGCTTGAAATATTGCCGTCAATTTTTTTTTTTTTCAATTTAATTGTTAATTCAGCAATTTAATTTTTTCCGTGTATCTTCGTTCATACGAGACGCAGAGATGGTTCCATCGGTTTCCTCGTAAAATTCCCTATTAAAAGTGCCCCTCAAATTTATAATACTCGAAATGAACGTGAAAAATTTCAGTTTTAGTGAAAAAAATTCTGTCAGATCTCTCTCCCATACGCTCGTTTCATTGTGCGCCGCGTGGAGCGCGTCCCTGGTTCCCGGATTCCTGCGGGCAGATCCTTCCGTTCGACGGGCGCTCGACCGGTCCAGGTATGCGCGCCGCACAGTGAAACGAGCCGATTAAAATGGTTGGACGTATTTTTTAATTACTTAAAATTGCAATTTTTTTTTTGGTAATTTCGTCACAGTTTAAATTATTAGGGATGCCTCTCAAAGGGAACTTTATGGAAACACTAATTGACCATCTATAACTCTTACCTACGCTCCGTATTGACCAATTATAAGCTTTTAAAGTTTCCATACACTGTCCGACCTCTCCGATTGGTTCGCTCCACTGTGCGCCGTCGCGTCGCGGGATCTAAGCTCAAGCCACGGTTCCACAGGCAGCGCACGACGCGAAGTCAGCAGCGCTAGTGGGTCCGATGATTCTAATACCGCCTGTCAATCGATTGTTGCATACTGCCGTGCAAAGGAAAAACGCCGTATGAACCTTCAGACGTTGCCGAATTTCCTCCAATAAAAATCGAGTTTTCTGAGAAAATTGTGAATTGATATGTTTATACGGCGTTCTTCCTTAGCACGGCAGCATAGGTAGCTATCGAATGACCGGATCGCTGTGAAAGATGTACAGTGTGACCTAGAAGTCTCGTACGGAATTTTTCGGATTTTTCGAACCCTAATAATGGCAAAGAAACCCCGGTTTGAAATAAATTCCAAAAAAAGGGACTACTTTGAAACTATATTTTTGGCGGGCTTTTTGGCCAGCGTGCCGATTATTGAAATTTATAGATAAAGAAAACATGAGGAGGGATCCTATTGCGGTGGAAACGGGGCCCTGGTAAAAATTTGCGATAGGCGCTGCGTTTCAAAATACCATAGGAATTCTTATAGAAGACTAAAGAAAGCCATTGAAAATCATATAGCTGGCTGTAGAAAGCGGAGCAAATCATAAAGCCGGGCTATACGAAGCGATAAAAAAAGTATACAGCTGGGCCATAGCTCCTATCGCCGGGCTTTACACTTTATCGCCATCGGCTATAAGAAAGTGTGTAGACATTCGTGCGCTTTGGAAATCATTAAGTTTGATACGGAACCACCATAATATTTACCAAACACACATTATATTTTCCTTTAATACATATTTTTTTTCGTCAATTAAAATGAGAATAATCCATACAGGATGCGCAAACATTTTAAAATCATGGGTTGCAAAACGCTGACTCCGCGAGATTATATATTGGAGCCTAACACAGAGCGGAGCGGCGTGCTGCCAGAGTTAAGCGCGCACTAGCGCCTTCAAACCTAACAGGGATACGTCACGCATTGCGCAATGCTTGAAGTATGCCTGTTAGGTTTGTAGGCGCTAATGCGCTTTTCGCGCTGGCTACCCGCCCGTCGCGCCGCAGCGTGCTACGGCGCTTGAAGCAACTATTTCACACCAGAGGTATTGCACAGTATCCTACGAAATTGAAGGCGCTCCAACATATTAGGAATGGCAGGCATCCTTCAAAAGTACGCAGCTTTCCGCGCAAAATAAATCAAGGTACTACGGCCCAAAAGTAGAGCGGTAGTCCAAAAACTCAATAAGTCCTAGAATCCGTCATTAGTAACAATTAGCATACACTTTATCGCCTGGCTGTTGCTTAATCGCCATCGGCTATAAAAGGCTATAAGAAATTGTGCATCCGGCTATAGAGGCTATTGAAAATCTTACAGCCGGCTGTAGGTCTATGGTATTTTGGAACACAGATTCTACTGCCAATTTTTACCAGGGGGTGGTTGAAGTGGACAGAGGAGGTTAGTTGGATTTTGACCGCGTTTTCTCCTCTCGAAAATGCTCTTTTGTAATTTTTAATGAACTTTTCGGTTTTTTCACGAAATTTTATTGCGTATAACCCCATACAAATTCTCTGCCCCACTCGATAGATCCAACAGGAAAAAAGTCACTGGGGGTGTGTTGAACTCTCGGAGCACGCTGTCAAATCATCACCGAAAAAAAAAGTTGATCTAACATTCTGAATGTAAAAAACATAGTGTGCGAGAACTTCAAAAATGCTGAATTACCCGCTATACAGCAGTTACTTTAGCAATGCCAAGATGTAAAACTAACTGCTGTGGCCGGCAATTCAGCATTTTATAAGTTCTCGCACACTTTTTTCTTACATCCAGAATGTTAAATCAACTTCGCTTTTTTTTCGGTGATCGCAGTCCTAGTCGCAGATCAAATTTTTGTTTTTCTAAAAAACATATCTGTTATCTAAATGGTAGTTTTATATAAAAAACTCGTAACGCTTATATAAAAAAAATCAAAATTCAGATCTGACCATAATATATGAAAAATGATAAAAGCTAGATAAGGTAATTTTTTTTATAGACAATTTTCTTATTTTTTTATATAACGCATGCATACGAAAGTGTTAAAAGTGAACATTTTTATGTAACTATTATATATAAAAAATGGTCATCATTTTCGTGAGCTTTTCGCGAATTAGAAGATTTTTTAGTATGCTTGCGAAAAGCTCACGAAAATTATGACTTTTATATAATGGTTACATAAAAATGTTCACTTTTAACACTTTCGTATGCATGCATTATATAAAAAAATTAACTTTCGCACATAATCTTAATATTTTCCCTCTATGGTTCTGCTACTAGGGAGCGGGGAGCGCGCCAACTCCGCGTCGCTCGCCGTCTGTGTAGGCGCGGCTTCGCGCTGCGAGTCGAGCCCGGACCGGACGGCGCGGATCGCGGCCAGTCGCTCTTCGCACGCGGTGGCCGACCCGCGACCGGCACTCGTGTATCTCCGTTCACACGTGCGGATTCGCAGCTGCTCGCGCGGTTTTTCGATTTGAGGATGCGCGCAGTGATACCCGCCCGGAGATAACCGCGGGATTTAGTGTAACTCTTTGGAATTCGAGGAAAGCCTTCAGTGCTGTCGCAACGTGAGCAGTGGATCCAGGAATTAACGTCAACGTCCATGATAAAGGTACGTCAGTGTGGATTCTTGCCGATTCCTTCCGCTTGCTTATCGCTTTTACGCTCTCGTCCAAACACCATTCAAGTCGCGTCCCTTATTTGCTTAACCTTCGTCGCATCGACGTGTTTTCCTCACGCAATCCCTCATGTTCCCGATTTATCCTAATTTACGCCGATTTATCCTAATTTACACCGATTTGAATCCTAATTTACACCGATTAATTCTGATTTAGGTACACCGATTTATTCTAATTTACACCGATTTATCTCTGGTATTTCCGCTCTTTCCCGAGTTACCCCTGATTTTTCCGCTCCATTCCGATTCACCCCTCATATTTCCATTCTATCCCGAGTAAATTCCAGTCATTCCCATTTGCAGGGTTTTAGGTTCCGAGAATACCGGGTAAACCGGGAAATGTCAGGAAATTTTAAACAGTTATGGGAAACCTGGACATTTTAGGGAATATGACGAAAATGTCAGGGAATGCAATTAAGCTTTTTTATCAAGGGACTTTCGCAAGAATTAAATGTAAAGGGGGCTTGTCGGGGGGTTTTTATGTAACAAAGGGACTAAAGCAAGGGTGTTGCCTCTCCCCCACCTTGTTACCTTGTTTAAAATATACTTAGAACATGTACTGCGTGAATGGAAGAAAAAATGTTCCGGAATGGGTGTCCCTCTAAATAATGAAGAAACGCTTTACACGTTATGCTTTGCTGATGACCAAGTACTTATCGCCCAAGATCAAGATGATGCTGAGTACATGACTCGAAAGTTGGTGGCTGAGTATCGGAAATGGGGCCTCGAGGTGAATGTCAGCAAAACCGAGAAGTTGACCGTTGGCGGGAATCAGCAAAGTATAGAATTAGAGGATGGGCGGCAAATTGGAAGCTGCGATATTTACAAATATTTAGGAGTGTTTTTAACCCAGGATGGAAGATTGGACCAGGCCATCAAGAAGAGGAATATGCTGGGTAGGAGGGCAATCGCTATGTTAAATGGAGTCCTTTGGGACCAAAGGATCTCCAAAGAGAACAAAAGGAGGATTTACAACGCGATTGTCAAGAGCATAGTAACCTACGGGTGTGAAGTATGGCCGATGAAACAGCGGACCCGGGAGGTTTTAGAGGCAACAGAGATGGACTTCTGGCGTAGATCCGCTGGTATTTCCAGAAAGGATCGCGTCAGGAATGAGACGGTACGGGATAGCATGGATGCCAAGCAGACCATCGTGCATGACATTATGACAAAACAACTCATCTGGTATGGTCATGTCCAGAGAATGGCAGGAGACAGGTTGCCGAAGAAGGTCCTTGACTGGGTTCCTCCTGGGAGAAGACGCAGAGGGCGCCCAATGAAAGGTTGGAGGGACGGGATTGAAGCAGAAATGTTGAGGTGCTCAATCCCCCAAGATTTGTGGTTTGAAAGAGAGCAGTGGAGGTTAGGAGTCGTAGAGCGCGAGGGAGTGCTGTAAAGCGACTTGTATGTATGTATGTCAGGGAAAAATTAATTAGCACCCTATACTCGTTTTCTAGAATGGATTTGATTTTTCTGAAACACACTTTTCCCAAAAAATATTTTTAATTATGTCTTTTTGACCATCTGGCATATCTTCAATTTTCAGGGAATTTCACCAAAATGTGTCAACGAAATGAGGGAAATGTCAGGGAATTTCATTTTCTAGATTCGGTGGCGACCCTGCATTTTATCCAGTTTCATCACAAAATATTCCTCCCAATTCAATTTTTGTAGGGCAGCGTTTAGGTAAAATTAATTGGGTGACATAAAATAAAAAATAAAAAATAAAAATAAAATGAAAAAAAAAATGCGTTAAGGGTTGTTTTAACGTTATATTTGATTTTGCATTTGATACTGCCGAAAGGTCAGTCCTCATAAAATATATTCTTTGAGAGAATTTGACTAAAAGTTTATATTTTTTATTGATAACCATACTGGGCCAAGGTGTAACTTCAAACCCTTCTCTTCCGTTCCAACTCAATAGTTACTCGATTCCCATTCGAAAAACGCTATCTGAATGGGGCCCATTCAAGTAATGGGTCGACAGTAATATTGTTACTGAACGGGCCGTTCAGTAACAATATTACTGTCGACCCATTACTTTTTGAGCTTTTACTCTACTGCTCTTTTTTCCATTCAAATATTGCTGTAAATAGCGTTATATCAACTATGGATGAAGCTATTTACAATGTTTGGATTATAAATAGGTATTCAATCGCAATTTTTCGTTATAAAATGTTTTTTTCCGAAAAAAATGTGTCTCTTTTTACGAGGGTAAATTTTTTTTATTTCGGGAATCTAATTCACTTACCTATTGCTATCAAACTACTTTTGAAAATTCTAATTCATAGTGAGTTGCTTTCGTCTCGTCAACCCGTGTAACAGGAAATTAGGATTCGCAATGACAAAATTAAATACGCTTTTTAGGTACTAACAATATTTTAGTCAACCTACTAGTTGGATTACATTTTGCAATGAGGTACCACTATCTTTGGCTCTCCCATAAAAGCACATATCTGCATAGGGAAACCAATGGCATGTATCTATGTTGTTTTTTAAAATTGGCCAGAAGTAGTGGTTCCTTTTTGCAAAATGTGATCCAGTTGTCGATCGAATTTATACCCTCTAAACCGCAAGGGTGATTTTACCTCGGCTCGTATCTAGTGACGAGGTACATTTTCTTGGACGACGCGTTATTGTTTTGGAAAATTGAACGAAGCTGGAAACTTTCGCGTTCCTGGCAGCGCGAGATAACTTTCCTTCGAGCTTCCTTGCTTCTTATCTAACGTCCGTTACGCTACGCGTTGCGCGCCGCCACCTGTGCACCTGACTGCGTATGTTTGTTCAAGCTGACAATGAGACGAGCTTTTCCAATCTTAATTGCAACTCATCGGTGGATCCATCCGTCTTCACCCAACGCAGCCAGTAATCTATGGATAGGCTGTCCAAGTTATCTGTTTATCCGAAAGAGGCGATTGAACATTTTTGAAGTAACATGAAAAAGGAACTTGAGGCATTTTTCGGTAAAAAGGCGTATGAGGCTCGCAATTCTGCTAAGATTGTCAGGGTGTCTACAAGTCCGGAAAGTCCGGAAATAGTACTGTTCTTTTAAGAGCGGTCCGGAAGTACCGAAAAAGTGCGGAAATTCTGTAAGAAGGTCCGGATTTTTTTAAATTTTTTGTCACTTTGGTGGCCGCGCCGGCGCGGCGGTCGGCATGTAACACATATTAGCGCCTACAAGACTGCATGAATACTTCACGCATTGCGTCAAAGACAGTGCGGTCGCTGCGGTCAGCAGCGGGCGACGTGAAACGCATAGCGCCTACAAGACTGCATGAATACTTCAAGCAATGCGTCAAACATAATGCGTGCAGCAGCAGTCGGCGTGAAACGCATAGCGCATACGTGACTGTAGGAATGCTTCACGCATTGCGCCAAACACAGTGCGGTCAGCGCGGTCAGTGTAAACCACATTTAAGTTTGTTCTGTCATTATTTTTTCGTTCATTTCATATAAATGGAAGGCCTTGTCCACACAGAGATAGGTTCACGGAACTTAACTTTCGCGCCAAGTTCCGTGAACTTTTGCTAGTAATGTTGACAGGGCTCTCGCAAAAAATGTGTCCAACACGAATAAACGCGTCTTATGAACCCCTCCCCCTCCGGCACTTGATGGTTTTTATTGATGTTTCAAAACGGATGAGAAGGAGTTGGCAAAATATAGGCGGCCCATGGGCGGCAAGTAAGTAAATCCGGCCCTGCTGGTTAGGCGGTTAGTGTCTGAAGTCAAAACGCCTTCACTTGCGTGCGTATGCAACACGGACATCCTTGGAGCCCGAATAGTTGCATCCAGGATTCCAGGCGTTCTAAGCGCGACACTGACAATTGAGTTTCGATTGACCTTAACTTTGTTCCAGCGTTACCTTCGTGCCGATGACTGAAACCATCACTGATCTTTATCGCGACGTGGTCAGTTTTCCGAAAATGCATTATGTAAATATATTACAACGTTGCCGATCTTCAAAATCGTAATAAAAATTAGGTAACTAAGCTTAATATGTAGATTGCTCCTTGCCCTACGATAGTAAGTCATGTTTTGTTTGGATTTTTTTTTTGTTTGTCCTTTAAAAAAACTAGTTTTGACGTTCAAGTGCTAAATTTTCTAAGAACATAATCCTGATGAATCGCATAGAATTAGGGCGGAAACAACGACCATTTTTCTTTCGAAAAAATGGAATGTGACGGGAAATCTTTAAAACCCTAAGCCTAAATACGTTTATGATTTCCTATGTGCAATGGCGAGACAATTAGTAATAAAAATTGTGTTATGTTCCAGCTCTTTCCCTCCTGAAATTTGGGCTGCGTTTAGTTTTGATTAAGTACGAATATTCATAAAATTTTCCGATTTTTTCCTCAAAAATTAAAAAAAATATTATATAATAATACTCTTCAGTGTAGATATATTTAAAATCTTCAAGGGATAAGCGTAAATTCTCTCAAAAGTAAATATTTCATTAGGGGAACTCTGGCATCATTTGGACGCTAATAAGACGTTATACCGTGGCACGGGAGCATTCCGGAAATGCCGGAAATTTCCGGATTGGTTGAGCGTCTTTTGACGCGTGTCGTCAACAAGTCGCCTCTTATATCGGCGTCTCGTGGTCTAATAACTAGGATACCTGGCTGGTGATCTAGAGATTCTGGGTTCGATTCCCGGTGGAAACGCTTGAACCAGACGCTCCGCGATCCGTCAGATTCAATGCATTTCACAGATCTATTGCGTAAATTTTATTTGCTGAGTTCTTGAAGCAAAGATTGAACGTCTTTTTGCGGAAAAGCCTTTCATGAAATTATTTAAAATAAAATTCTGTGCTCGCCATTTTTAGAAGTATTTCTGAAACAGTCACGATAGACCATTATACGCATGAAAATTGCGAAGGCTAAAGTTTGAACGAACAATTATTATGAGTCGAGTTCCAGAATATCATATCAGAT